ACAGATACACACAGTGACCCCACTTCATACATCTTTGCAACTTTAAATATGAGCGAAAAGCTGATATTTGTCATACCCGATGATGCGTTCAGGGTCACTGGAGTTATCATTTGATAGACAGCATCTCCTATCTATTCGTCCGGCGGATGAAGAACAGAACCGATCCACTTCGGAATTGTTTCGAACTAGCCCAGCACACAGCGAACATACCTGTGTTTTGAAATTTGGAACATAATTGAAAAACAGAGTTGAAGAAAAACACTGAAAATCCTCACAGGGGCCAAGAACCACCAAAACAATCTGATTTATCAGGACTTGTTGCGCTAATACTCCAGTGGGGACACAGCAATCTTACCTGCAGCCCAGTCAGCTGATGACTCGCGTTAAAACACACCTTAAGGATAATTATAAGAGCAACAATTTCCGTCCAGGCTAGCGATGCTTTCATTTTTATTGACTGTAGTCATGTGACTGGCTGTACTGTATGGGTCGCGTGACAGGAAGCAAGAATGTTTGCGTCAGGAGGGTAATGATTTCTTCTAAATTTGTATTTTGTATTCGACGTAAATAAAGCAACAAAAAAAAAATGGAGTAAATGTCTTTTTAAAGCTGTGTGAGCTTTATTAGAGAATATATATGGTTCAAGAAAAAAAATATACAAACGAATAAAAATATATATATATATATTTATAAATGTTTCATTGCAGCTCACAGGTCTATAAGATTATTTAATGTAAAACGGACAAATTCCTTTTTTTTTTTTTTTTTTTTTTTTTTTACAAACAAAAGGTTTTGACGGCACTTTTTCTGTCGCTGTCACTTTGGAATGTACTAACTAAAAATGGGAGAACGTTTCAAATAAACGTGGGGAAATTTAAACTATAAATGCAATCAAAAGTTATGTACATATTAGTGTTCACTGATTCATTGTATAAGAATACTTTACAGATGATTTGTATGCTGATCATTGGTTCCATTGTTCCCGTTAAAAACGCTACGTCAACGCAACCGCCATCTTGCGAGTGTCAAGTACTTTTCAGGAAGCAAAGAATTCTATCAGTTTTTCAGCTAAAAAGAAAGATTAAAATTCATATTCAGAAAATACTAATGAAAAATATTTTTAATACATAATAACATTAACTACTTATTGTCATTATATCAAAATACAACAGGAAACACAATATGCAAAAAATGTGCAAAGTGCTGAGGGTAATTCCTAAAGGAAGCAGCAAAAATGCATGTCACAGTGATAGTTGAAAGATATATATGCTGCTAAATGTTACCTAAATTTTGACTACTTAATAGGCATTAAGAAACAGCAATTTTAAGAAGATAAACAATATATTATAATATCTTTGAATTGCAGTTTGAGGTGGTTAAAGCTTCACCCAGTTTTAACCCCAAATTCTGGGGTGGGCATAAAACAAACTACTCTTTAGGGGCGCACCGGGAACAGAGAAGTCATTATTTGGTCTAAGTTTACGAAAAACTAAAAAGAAAATTTTACACCAAAATAAATTCAAAGACTCCTTTTTTGCCGATGTCCTGGACCATAACTTCCGCTCACAACATCGCGGCAACATTGACGCACTTATTGGACGGTCGTGCAACCACCCCTATGAATCAGGTTGAGATGGTTCAGTCCAGAAAGATTGTTGCAATGCCTCTTGATGGGCCAGCAGCGGATATTCTGACTCTGTGAATTGAGCGGCTAGGAGGTGTTGCATCTACGTTTTTTCCTCCTTTTTTGACCAGATTTTCTTCATTCTTCCTGCATATTAGAGTTAAAGATTGAATTCAGCAGGAAGAGAAGAGGATTTAAACGAGCAATACTCTCGCACGTTTCGGGAGGTTCTCAAACGTTTATTTGTGCGACGCTCGAGGGACTGCAGGAATCAACTGCACCTTTTCTCCAGAAACTTCACCTCCTTGCGCCAATGAACCGAATTACCTGAACGCCTCTAAGCTCGGCTCGTAAAAGTCAGCCATTTGGTCTTCTTGTTCAATAACGTTTTTGCAGTGAAATAGGCGTTATGCGCACAGTAAAGGTGTAATTACCCAACACTTGCAAACATGGCTGCTGTTGGAACAGAGGAGAGAAAAGTTTAACACTGACGTGGGAGAACTTTAGAGCATTCATGAGCTTCTGTCCGCTCCATAGAATGGTAGGCTCTATCCCCTAGTTTGTCACCGCCGTCTCTGCACCTCCGAACCGGGGAAGCGACTGCGTGAGAACCGCCACCTCCTCCGTGGGCTCCACAGTGTCGCCGCAGTGGACTTTGTTGAGAAACTGTGGTGCCATCCCAGACTCCGGGGGAGGCGTTCAAGGACTTCTCCATTGACTGCGGGTTGTTTGGAGCTAAAATGCATTTTTCAATACCCGAAACGGAGGTTCGTTCCGGGGAGAATGGTTCCACTTATGTGGTGAGCATTTAACTTTTTACATTTTTCTATCAACTAGGCCAACTGTGTTAATGATATCTCCAGCTAAATACAGGTTAGCACCAGTTTGAATATTTACTAAGCACATGTTCAATTTCTAATAAAAAAAACAATTATAACTCGAGCTTCATAAGTACCTTTTTACTTATATTAAATTGTCTGAATGGAATTTATAGTGGTTTATTTGATAATGATTTCATAAACTTAAATAAAAGTCAGTGTTTTAAATTTAACTCACCCTTTTTTAAATCTTTTTTTTTTTATTTGTCTTATAAAAATAGGGCATTGATACAAGAAAATCAGCCAATCCTGTTTGCTTTGGATGATATCTCAGATGCTTCTTGTTCCAGTCTCTCTACTTTCTGCTGTAGTATCTTCGAGAGGTTTCTTGTGTGCACAGCCCAATAGAAGTGTTCCCATATCATTTTGATCCAATATTTTCCATTTCTTCCCTGAGGATCAGACATTAATTTAACAGTAGCATCAGGTTTTTAGGGTTTTAGAGACTTTCTTTAGCATCTTGTGGTCTGTTATCTGGCTAATCTGGCTTGGGCATGGAAAATGGTGCATATTTTTCAGTCTAGAGGATGATTGATTTTAAATATCTTAAGACCGTGTTGTTTAAGGCCTCAGCCAGTTATTTTGACCTTCTCTGAGCTGTTAAATCTTTCTATTTAAGAATCCCTGAACACCTTTAAATGAAGTCAAACCCTCCAGGTCACATGGAAGAGGTGTTTTAAATTACAAGCCAGCTGAAAATCATAGGCCTGATATCTCCCTTCAGCAGCAGCATCCAGCTCAATCTTGGACTAAATAAACCCTTTAAATTATGATAATTATTGTGAATTTACTGCAGCTATACATGAACCTTAAGAGGCTCCCTATCATGATTGATTGCCAATTTTATTTATTAAAGGACTAGGGAAAGTATAACATCTTGTGGGAGGGAGACAACAGCTCTGCGCTTAATTAGGTTCTACTTTTAATTTAAAGCAAAGTCAAACTGATTAAAGATGTCATTTGAACATTGTCAGTAACAACTTGTATATGCGAGTCATGCGGTAAGCGGTGCAAAAGGATGCACTAGAAGTTTCTGACAAGTTTTTTTCTCCAACTTTGTCTTTAAACACCTCAACATTGTCATCATTAAAAATAAATGGCCTTCTTTCATTTGTCTTGACTCGGTAAGAGCTTCCCCCCTGAAGAGTGTTGTCAGTGCAACCTGGTGAGGCTTTTGTATTGTGCTGATATTTGGGATACAAGTAGTTGAAGACATCAACTGAGGATCTGATGGGAGAAATGACCCTCATGTTTCTCGGTTATCTTGCTCACAGCAAATTAACAGATAATGTACTTTTCTGTTAACTACAGTACACAATAAAGGACTTCTTTGAGAAGAGGGTGCAACCAAGGTATTCCAGTGTTCAGTGAGGCTGTGGTTCCTTTTTTCTTTGTAAAAGAAAAAGGGAACCACAGCCTCACTGATGGTAACATGCCTATTTTAAGGAATGTGAGGCTTTATCCTGTTAAGCAACCCTGAAATATTCGAGTTTTACAGTTTCTGGTTACTTTCATTACCCACAACAGAGTCTCTCTTGTTTCACAGATTTAAATCTGTGGTTTAAAAACTTACAGAGATTTGAGGTTTACCCCTACAGTGTCAAAATTCTCGATTAGTTGAAAGCACAGCAGGCATTGCTTTCATTTGGGGACTCAACAAGTACAACAGTTATGCTTTCTTTAAGTACATATCTGTGTTGTTGTTTTTTAATTTCTTTTTAAATGTTTTTTTGTTTGTTTTTTTCAAGGTAGTCTGAAAGTCCACTGTTGTTGAAAAATGCTGCTGCTTTGACACTTAAATTTGTATCTGCTCCCCCTATACAGTCCCGATTATATTGGTCTATTTCTTGACTAATTCAACTGCGTCAGCAATATTCATCAAGGAACTATTCAGTTTCTCTTGTTGTACTGAAATGTACTGACCGTAGCTGCATTTATACTTTCCAGATGGTTAGAAATGACAGCTGCAGCATTTATCTGCCTGTTTCCAGAGCCAAACACCTGCAGCGTACTATCCTCCATCTTGACTCCATGTGTTCCAAAGAGGAATAAGGAACAGTATTAACGGAGTGAGCTTATTCGTATGGACTTTAACTAACTTTGGTAGCCGAAGGAAAGTCCTTTAATCTGCCGTCATGCTTTTGTTCACCAATTAAAAGCTGTCTAAGTTTCTACTTTGAACTTTAACATTTTCAGTCTTGTTTTGTGTTTAGCTTACTAAGTGTATTTTAATGCTTGCTAAGCAGTGGAATTTGTTTTGCAGTTCACCCCTAGCTGGCAGCCCTGCAACTGTCATTGTGACCTTCCTGTGACCAGGCTACAGGAAAGGACTTTGCTTGATTATAACACTAAAGATGAGCTGTGCACATTGGAATTAACTGAGCACACAATATGCAGAACTGTACTTTGTAGAATAAGAAGTATGTTTTCTTTGTGCTTGTTTACACTTCCTTTTATTTCTTCCTTTTTTTAATAGCCCTTTACATTTTGTGGATATGTAAAAATGTAAAGTATAGACTTTGGCAAAACTATATGGGGTGTGACATAATTGTCAATTTAAAGCTACTGTTGAGATACTGTGTCACAGAGGATTAGCAGAATCTGCATGCAGTTAAGCTGTTGTTCAAACAACCATTAATGATCCACGGCTTAATTTTAGGTTGAAATCAATCAAAATACTGCAGAGAAATTTCTTTTTCTCATTTTCATAGTCATTCTTTTGTACGTCTTTTCTTTAACAGCTTAATTTTCTACTTAACATAACTTATGAATGTCATTTTTGAATAATTTTGTTAAAATTTTTCATCGTTTTACGTTGCTCTGAAGTATTTAAGTTTATTTTTACCTTTGCTGTTTTTTGTTTTTTTTAATGCTTTAGCATCATTGAAGGCTGGAGGATTTTTTTTTCTTTTTGGCCTGAGTTTTGAATGTACAGCTGGTTTTAGGATTGGAGTTAAATTACTGAAATTACTGTAATGTTTGTGCAAGAAAAAGCTTCCATCCTTACAAACCTGTCCAGCGTTTAAACTACTTACTGAGCACAAAAATTCAGACTCATTCTTCCTTTCTGTCTGGATAAATTTTTGTCCTTTTCTTTAGTCTCCTTTCCAAATTCTTTAACTGCTAGCTCTAGATTATAGTCTGGTTTCCCTTGTTAACAATTATTTTAATAATCATCACAATTAATATGATTAATTATTTCAGCCCTCATTGAGTGTCAATCTAAATTCAGACCAAAGTGGAAAGGAAGGGAATAAGCTGAGGTAATCTCCCCAGCTGGTTTCTATTTTCACACATGTTGGTCATCACTGCTTTCCTAGAACTGTTGTGCTTTTTGCATGTGATCATCCCTTCCAAGGGTTGGTTTTGTGGTAAAACCTGTCTTATCCTGCTGTGCTTCACCTTCTTTCCTCACATGCATGCAAGACAGAACCTCCTTTGATTTAAAATTTAAAATTGTGCTCCAATGTTAAAAATCTCTAGTATTCTTATGAAACTCTGGTATAGGATGTGAACTTGAACAGTTGCATGGTAGGCTTAACATTTAGCTATGCTTTATAAAACGGCCTTGCAGTCATGCAGACCTGTATCAGATTCTCTATGTAAGATAACCTTGGGTGCAGATACCAGGCTTCCACTTCCTTCGGCCTGCAGAATTCGAGGAATTTTCAAAGGAGGAAACTCCACAGGAATTGACTGTATTTAATGTAACAGAGCAACAAAAATGTAGTAGGGAGATATTACTAAATTGAAGGTTTGTCCTTAACAGGTATTTTAAAAAATGGTTCTGGAAAAAAAAAGGAACATTTCAGCCAAATCTTGACTAAAACTGCTACATGCCAGGCAAGCACACATCAGTATATTTATTTGATACCTCAGTGAAGGGCGCCTAGCATATTGTTTTGGCTCAATACATGTGCCGTTTGCTCCCTTATCACAAATGGCTTCTAGAGCCCCGAACTGTTGAGGCCACACCTTTCAGTCCAGAGCACAAGAGACAAATGAAGTGGTTCTTTTTTATAAAAAAATATCTGCACTATATTGATGATTTCTATTGTAACAGATTGAAGTGAAAGGAAATAATGATTGGATGTACTTTTTACTGTATTTAAAAGCTTTACATATCTGTATTCTGCATTCAAATCCTTTTCTAACAGTTTCAGGATTTTTGTAAAGCTTTTTTGTGCCCTCTTCAAATAACCTTTTATATGAATCCTTTTTTTTATTTGACTCTGTTCTTCCACCTGCAGGCTTATAACATCCACGTCAATGGTGTGCTGCACTGTCGCGTACGCTACAGCCAACTTCTTGGCCTTCACGAACAGGTGAGATTCCTGTCATATCACACCCCCTCAAAGCATAAGTGGACCCACACTCTGTGACCTTTTAATGCTTTCTTATGTTGTACACTTATTGTAAATCTGAGCTGTGATGGCTGGATGCCTTGCTCTTTCTTTTTTCCCCCCTCCAGAGGGGATATGGAGGGAATGTAGAGCTTTGTTACACGTGACCTGCTTGGAGAGAAATAAATGCATTTTTCTAATTGGGTTGGATAAAAAGTAATATTCAGGAAAGCATATCTGATGTACTATCCTTTTAGCAGGGAATCGTCCTCAGGAAAAAGAAGCTTTGAAGAGATCTTTTTCATGTTTTTTTTTTATTTTTTTATTCTTATTTCTAAACGTGAATGAAAATGAAGGATGTCTAAATTTTACAATCTTTATTTTTTGTGTGCATCTTATCTGGGAGTTGCTGTTGCCTGGTAACGGATGTGAGAGACAGGCTTGAATCTTCCCTGAGCATCAACCCTACAAGGCTTCTAATGTTACATGCATCACCCCAGAAATAGTGAAGCAAACATGGGGGATTGCACCGTCCCTTTAAAAAAATTCAGAACGTTTCTTTTGTTTCTTTCAGGGTTTCTCTCTACATAGATATTTGCCACAAGGCCATGTGTCTGTCCCAGTCTTTATGTTAAAGCCAGCAGTGGAAACCAGTCACATTCAGATCTTAGATATTAGATAAGCTCATTGTAACGTCAGATTTTGGGTTGGGGGAGTTGGAAGGTTGCCCTCTGCCTCCGCAGCTAGAAAATCAGATTTTTCTGTTTAAATAGTGCTCCTTCAAACAGACAAAGGCTTTATTGAGCTCTGTTGAGTTAGAAATTTCTCGTCTTTTTTATGCTGTTACAGTGGTCTGCTGTACATGTAAACGTCAGACCTTTCAATCCTAAATGTTTGCCTGAATGGAATGATATTTGTGCTTTACAGTTTTAGTCTGATGCAGCATACAGCCTAGAACCATAGTTGGTGTGAGATTCTCCACATGCAACGCTTTAGTTTGGGCCATGGCACTCTTTGAGGCATCAGCTTTCAGATGATAAAAAATGGCAAATGAGTCAAGAAGCTGGAAGTAAACTTAAAATCACTAGACTTTCAGGATTCCAGATGTGAGTTTGTGTGGTATGCACGGAAGCTCAAATAGCTTTTCATTGAAACAATACTGAAAATAAACCAGATTGATCTTTAATCACCTTAGTCTACCTTTTATTAAAATGAATGTGGCTCTTTTTAATAGACTGCCTCTTTTGTAAAGACCTTAGTAGTCCATTTTTTTACCCAAGTAAAGTTATATGAACTGCAGTTGCTTTCATTGCTAAGTGCTTCACCTGATTTGTCCCAACAGATAAAGAAGGAATTTGGCAGCAATGTGGTACCTACCTTTCCCCCAAAGAAGATCTTCACACTGACCCCTGCTGAGGTCGAACAGAGGCGAGAGCAGCTAGAGAAATACATGCAAGCTGGTAAGTGAGTCTAGCAAACAGACATTTTATTTTAGACTAAACATATTAACTAAAACAAAGCAAAACTAACCAGATATTTGAAACACAAACCTTGGTTTCTCTGCTATAGATGTTCTGATCTAATCTCCCATTTGGGATTCAGCTCTAGATCCAGGCCTTTTTAGGGGATTGGTACCAAAGTTCCTGACCTGATACCAGGTGTTTGTATCTGTGGTTTAATGGGAAGAAACTCCCAGAAATCCATGCAGCCATTTTGAAAGTCCATTTAAAATAATTGCAACCTACTTGTGTGTACTCTCCTTCAAAAAACAGTTTTCCCCTTATAAAATACATTTTTAATGAACGAGCAGTTGTATTGTTGCAGAAATAAGGCGTCAAAATTGAAGTATTGAGCCATACTCTAGGACTACATCTTGAGGGCCTCGTAACTGAGAAGTAGCCAGATAATTATCTAAATGTTAAAATTAGAAAAAGAAGCTGAAGGCAACAGCTGCAATGTGTGACTGCACTTTGGTTTCGAACTGAATTACCACAGTGAAACTGCTAAACCTGTGCGAGCCGGCATGTCCCATTTATTATTAAATAAACACAGCAGTAAAACAGACGTACATCTGCGCCTAAAGCCTAATCATCTAAAGCAGGTTCCTCAGCTGTAAAAAAAGTAAACAGCCAATGGAGCTTTCTCAGTCTTCCTTACAGTCTACAATCTGCAGGGGATCCAAACAAACAACATATAAAAAGGGGAGTGCTAAATGGTGAGAGCGCTTATTCTCTAAAGATATGCTGCCCTTTAGTTTTGTGAAAAAGCCAACATTGAGAAAATGCTGCAAGCATTCGACGCCCACCAGCATGAACTGCCTGGAAAAACAAAGCTCTCTACGGCCCATTGAGCCTATCGCTCTAATTCACATGGACTGTTTTGGTTATTTGTTTTCATTTGTTCATTATATTGGAAGTTTGATATTTTTCAAGGGCAAATTTGTTTATAGAGCTAATATCCATTGAATGTATTGCTTTGTTGTTTGGTTTTAATGTTCATTTTATTGTTTTTTTATTTGTTTTGTTTTATTTTTCTGATATAATAATATAAGCTTTAAAAATGAAAGTTTGTTTATCTTGGAGAGGGTGTATCTGTCATGTTATCATTACCATTATCATTATATGTGTTTTCTGGTTGTCTCAAAATGATATTGTAATTTTTCACACTAATGTCTTGAACAGTATGATCATTTTGAATGATTCCAGTACGGCAAATTATAAATCAATGTTATCATTTTATGATACAACAAGCAGCAAACCTTTATTATATTGTCATCATTGACATTATCAAGGCGTTCCAGCTTGTTTTCCAAGCAGGTTTCCCAGCCGTGGTTCGTAACACGGAGCTGGTCGAAGTAATTTCTGTCTTTTGCTGTTTGTTTGCACAATACAAAAGGGAGAAAAATTATGAATTGCATATATATATTATATTTTAAAGCTATATCACATATTGTAAAAAGAATTGGTTTGAATGCTAAGAGTAAATTTTTTATAACTGAGATATGCAAACTGATCCAAGTTCACTGCAACACTGAATTAACTTGCTTAAAATGAAGGCAGAGTTCAGAGTTAAAAAGATTTAAATAAGAGGGGAGGCAGTTATTTATTGTGAGGCTTTTTTTTATGTTCCAATGAAACCTCTGAGTGGTTATCTGTGGCCTAACTGTACCTTTAATATTTAACTTCTCCTTGGTAGAAAAACTGACATTTATAGTAGTTCATATGTTTCTAATATTTAAAGCAAGTTCAGTTTGTTTCTCTAAATGTGCCCTGTGATATATTAATTTCTCTTAAAAGCCCACATTAAATATGAGCATTTGCTATATTCCAAGCATATTATTCAGATTTCTTTAAAGGGGTTAAAGGTGAACCTGGTGCAAACACAGATGCAGAGCTGGAACTGGCAGCAGCGCAAAGCAGCGGCTTTATTCCTCTCAAGCACCGGCAGCTCCAGCTAAACAACGGAGCGTTGTTCCAGTGTGTGTTTGCTCATAGCCTGGGAGCACACATACACAGGGTGTTCTTGGCCTCAAGTCCACTAGGTTACATCATGGCTTTTTTTCACATAGTTATGGAAACTTGGCTGCAGTAAACACAACTTCTTCTGACTGACTGACTCGGATGACTCAAAAAAATTTCACATTTGGCCAAATGTTGAAACTAATTTGTCAGGGGATAACGGCCAACGGGCTGTCACTCGTTTACTTATTATTCTAGAAACTTTGCAAGTAAATGTTTTTACAACTAGTAATGTTCGTGTAATAAAAGGAGCATAAACCGTATAATTTATTTTCTTTGTTTTTTTTTTAATAATATCAGATAAAAGTTAAGTAGAAGGACCTTGCAGAAACATAAAATCCTATGCTTTAATAGGGTTTGCATCACTCAAGGAGGAAGAGGAAGTTGCCCCACCTAAAGATGTTTTATCAACGTAACACCCTTAAATAAGGTCATTCACTAATAATGAACCCTGTCTAAACATGTATTTCTGTTACAGTAACCAGTTGCTCAGATTCAGTGAAGCATTTGATCATTGTCTGCATTCAGTGACCTTCCTTCTGTCTCTTGTAGTTCGACAGCATCCTTTGCTTGGAGCCAGTGAGCTATTTAACAGCTTCCTAAGGAAAGCACAGCAGGTTGGTGTATTATTATTAGACACATTTTCACGTTTTCTCACTGCACTCATTCTGTTTTTGCTTTTGTAAAATAAACTGGCTTTTCAGATCTTTTTTCCTGAGGTGAAATGACGGTTGTTTGCTTCTAGTCTCAAATAGAACTGTTGTAACTTTATCTTATTGTTTCTTTACTGTCCCCTGTTTGTTAGATGTGATGAAGTGTGCCTTGCACACGTCAGGAAACCATAAAGAAAAGATGCCTTTTTGGCCAAGATGTCATCATTGTTGCTTTGTGTGTTGGGGGGGGATCTTGTTGAACTCTTAGGTCATAGTCAAAAAGCAAAGTGTGAACCTACTGATGACTCATTTCCAATGAAATTCTGCCAAAAATCTCTTTGTGCAGCACCAGCAAAATTAAAAAGTCAGAGGTAAATGAGACGGTTAAAGCATGAAAAGATTTTAAATAAAAGGTTATAAGGCGGCACATTCAGGGTGATGTTTATTGGCAGGAGAGCTGTGGATCCTCTCTTTGGACAGATTTATTTTTCCTAAGCCATGTGCAGCTATTCTGCCCTCATCTTGTATCGCAACATCTTTAGGTGTTTGAGCATCACACTGGGAGGGCTGTAGGTGCACAACACAAGATGATTGACCACCCACTGTAGGCGTTTCATCCACAGTTCTGGTGGGGGGTCTGTTCTTGGAGAATGCCTGCTGGGGGAACAGGAAAGATGAGAGATAATTGAGAGGAGGTGATGAGAGACTGCCTGAGCGCAGAAGAGGCAGGAAATAACGGCTTCAATATCTGCAAAGGTGACAGCCAGACGCTTACATCTCTCTGCCCTGGGCAGGAATATTTTCATCCAGGCCTCATACCGTAATCACTTTTAAATTCAAGAAATATGTGCATGAGTTCAGTTTCATTGTTAATTTCCAAAAGCGTACACATGCATGCTGAAATAAATACACCATGTATTCACCTAAACCTTTGAATAACTGATGAAGGTTTTGCCAAAACCTTTTAACTTCTTCCTCCTGATCATCAACAGAATCCAGATGAAGGCTTAGCTTTGCCAGAATAAAAATGAGATGTTTAACAGCATGAACGCATTAAACTTTGGACAGGGGAAGTCACAGATTCAAGAGGAATTGCAGATTTAGCTAAGACGGAAACATTTTTGTCATCAGCATGGGCTGATGGCAAGCAGGACTGAAAAACCCAAATGCTGCTTCATTATAAATGTTTGGTCATCTTGTGCCAGAACAGCGACTAATTTAAATAAACTCGTCCATTTCTGCCAAGAAGAATGACCAAATGGGCCTCCACACCAGAAAGGATCATAGTAGATGAACTACTTAGACATCTTTGTATTTCAAATCCAGGCCTTAAAGTTTTCAATTCATTGAATTATTTTTGAAGTCTACAGTTTTTTTTTTAAATGTCTCAGTTTTTTTTTTTATGCACATATCTTTGTAGCATAAAGAGACTTTTCCTTCCTTATTAATTGGTGAACTCAGTTAATCATTTAACTCTGGATAAAGAACAGTTCAAATAAACTCTACAAGTGACGAGGTATTCTTACTGGTGATGTGGAGAACAATGGTTTTGCTAGTCGTTACCTCAGTGATTTTCATTTAGTCTGCTCGGGGGGGACTTTACTTTTTAAAGACGGGGATGCTAACAGCGTCCAATCATGGAGCTGAATTAACAGCTGGTTTGTTTGGTGTTTCTCCTACAGGAGACGCAGCAGATTCCCACAGAAGAAGCTTCTCTAGAAATCTGCCTGTCTAATGGTCAAAAGGTTACGGTGGACATTTTGACTTCAGATCAGACGGAAGACGTGCTTGAAGTAAGGGAAGAAATCCTCCTAACTCTACATTGGCAATACTGATGGTATAGCATCAGTATTGGGAACTGCATTAGATCTCTCCATTTTATTCTCTTTCAACTCCATCTGTAGTTTCATTCTTCTCATGTCAGATCTTCCTGGTGTTTATTAGCAAAGTAATATGCTGTAGATTTTCTAATGCCCTTAAAGCCACTATGTATGTTTCAGATCCTGTCCTTTGTTGTTTTGCATCTCAGTAGAGAGAAGCTCCTCTTAAGGATCCTGCAGAACCTCTGTTCTTATACAGGAGCTTCAATTTGCAAAAGGCACATTTAACAAAACCAAAGCCCATAAAAACCTCAACTCACTCACTACTTATTAAAAGTAAATATCCTTGTTGAATTGACCTGTTGTACCCTGTTACACCTGCAGCACATGATAATGCTATTTAAAATCTGTCACCTCAGATCCACTGTTATCAATTCCTCAGAAAGAAAAGCCACTATTGGCTGATCTAGAAGTCACTATAAGAGAGGAATGTCAACATGATTTAAAAACATAGTTTAAAACAAAAAATAAACCTCAATAAAATAAAGTTTTTAATAATATTTTACCTGAACCAAAACTATAGATAAATCAATCTTGTTATTTATCAAATTCAGCTTAAAGCCAGTTGGCAGATGCCGAGTGAATGAGGCTGTGTATGAATAAAATGCAGGCAGGGATCTGTTTAGTGCAGCAGTTTCCAAGCAAAAAAGGTCTTTAATTTAGGGGATGAGTGGAAATTTTGCGTATGTGTGAATCATTTTCAACAGAGATACTGAGGAAGAGTCACTCTTCTCTCTCTCTCTCACACAGATTGCTGCTGAGTAAGCGCGTCTGTCAGGGCTTTAGGAGGGAGTGGCTTACAGCTGCCCTCGCTGCTCACTGAAGACTTTAAACTCTGGGGTGTCAACATTATCGCCTATGTCTCCGATGACACAGATATGTCACTAGATTTGTCATTTTTTGGGTGGTTCTATATGGGGTCTGGATAGCTGCTAAATAAAGCAACAGAGTAGCCAATTCGGAAACACTGCTCAGATCTTCATTGTCCATCAGAATAGAAATAACATAGGAGAGCTCAAATCTGTCTTTGCTGTTTAACCAGTGTGTACTTGGTGGCTTTTCACAAGCTTTTATAAAAGTTTAACCACAGTTAACCTTTGCTCAAATGAGCGCAGCTCAAATCACAAACTTGTATATCTGCTGTAACAAAAACACCCCAACCTTCATCTGTTTTTAGTTTGTTTTTTTATTCTTGTTTTCAACTATGTTAATCTCCAGTTTTAGGTGTCGTTACTAATTAAGCTTCAGTAGTTATTTCTAGAGCTTTTCCTCCTGTTGACATGTTGCTGTAGGGGTGATATATTATTATAATTATTATCAGAATTAAGTACAAATTGAACATTTTAATTTATTCAAATTGATAAGCGCTCTGCATGGCATATTATGTTGTAAGTATGGTCAAATCACAGAAACTTTTTCTTTTTAATCATTGATTACAAAATGAAAAGCTTTATTTACAGAGAATAAGTTTGAGAGAAAACCTCACCTGTTTAATCTTTTATCAGGCTGCTGCAACAAAGTTGGACCTCCCAGACGACCTTGTGGGGTATTTCAGTCTCTTCTTGGTCCGAGAAGGAGTGGATGGAAATTTAACATGTGAGTTACAAAACATACCACTGCAGAAATCAAAAAAAAAAAAAAAAAACACTACATGTATTTAAATACACAGAGTATAGCTAAGATTTGATGAAAATAATGCAATTAAAAAATTATTTAGATAACCTTTGTACATAAACTTTAAAATGTATTAATTCTATTCAGTTTATTTGCTGATAACATCAAGAAAAATATAGTTTGGTTCCTTTAGTTACTGGAAAATGCGCATCGTTTGAGCTTATAAAACAGAAGTAAATTACGTTCTTTTGCCTAAAGACCAACAGTCAGTTAAATTAATCTTCTTAGATGAAAAAATACAAAAAAGATCAAAGTTGAAAATGTAGATTTGACACCAGAGTTGGTACTTTAAAACCTCCACCTCGTTTTTAGTAATCCTCACCTATTTTGCATACCTAAATAAAAAAACAAATAATGAAGGAACTGTAAGGTCAGATTACATGTGTGACACATCATTTGAAAGCTAACATCTTCTAGTTTCTGAAAATATGAATAGAAATAGTGGGACTAAAACGCAACCTAAAGTGCATCAGTTCAAATGTGACTCATAGTTGTTTTTTTCTTCTTGTAAATAATAGGTGTTTTTCGATAAGCAGTAACAAAGACATGCTTGATAGCAGGCATGTGTCATCATATTATATTTTTTCTGCATCATGTCAGCCACAGCTGCAAAAGAATTCAGACCTCTATGTATAACAGTGTCAGAGCGCTGGGACTTTTAACTTCTGGTGTCGCCAGCATCTCCAAACCTTTACAAATGTTCCAAATTATGCTAAATTGTGCTTATTGCTTTTATTCAACAATTTGACCTATACAATCACATTGAAACATTGTGATGACCACAAAACATTTTTGAAGCAAATATTTTTTACATTTTTCTAACATTTCCGATGATCTAACAGTGGGCGGTGATCCGGGCTCTGATGCTCCTGAGCACTGTTATGAAAGGCAATATATCAGGTCTACATTATTCAAATTAGCCATTCTTACCCTTGTTAAAAAGCTAATTTCATTGCTTACCCTAAATTTAGTGTGGTCTTAACCAATAGCAGCCAGACTTTATGAGGGATAATATAACGAGATTCAATGCGTAAGGCAGTGACTGGTGAGGAGCGCTCGTTATATGTCCCACCATGAATCTAAACAAAAATCGATTGGGACACTTATGTTTTGTTGGCTGAAAAGAGATGAAAACAAACATACCAAAGATCTAACAGAAATGTTTGGGGAAGCTAGGGTAATTAGCAAGACAATTAGCATTAGCTCTGTAGCGCAAACATTTCTGATGGCAAAAAGCAGATTTTTATGGGGCAATTTTTTTATAATGGACTGTTTTTCTTACGATTATGGTGGATTACTTTTAATCTGTGGACATTTAGAGACAAACAGAATTAAACAAAGATTGGATTTATAATATGGCTTTAGGATCTATTCAAACATAGGAAGTAGAAGCTTTATTTTAAAAAATTATAATTTAACATCATTCTATATCTTTGGTGATGGTGATGGTTTTGTCCACGGCTGCTCAGTGATGCAGTGGGTAGCACTGCTGCCTTGCAGCAATAAGGTTCTGGGTTCGATTCCCAGCCCGGGGTCTTTCTGCATGGAGTTTGCGTGTTCTCCCTGAGCGTCGGTTTGTTCTCTCTGGGTACTCTGGCTTCCTCCCACAGTCCAAAAACATGACTGTTGGTTAATTGACTTCTCTAAATTCTTCTTAGGTGTGAGTGTGTGTGAATGGTTGTTTGTCTCTGTGTTGCCCTGCGATAGACTGGTGACCTGTCCAGAACGTACCCTGCCTCTCACCCATTGTCTGCTGGAGATAGGCACCATGCTTGCGACCACTTGGGACAAGCCTGTCAGATAATGGATGGATGGATGGATGGTTGTGTCCATCAAATGAAATTAATTGTTGGGTCTGCATACAAATTAATAAGAAAAAAAAATGGAATAATAAATATCCTGCAGTATTCATTGCAGCCTATTATCTTCCCTCTTCAGACCACTGATACTACCAAAGAATCTATTATTAACTAACAGGATTTCAGATACAGAGCTGCTGCATCTGAATGGGACCATGCACTCATTTAGATAGAGAGAGGTTCTTTCACTGCAAAAATTGGATCAGTGGAAACCTTTTTAGATATTTAAAACCATTGTGAGGAAAAAAAATGTAATATTTGGATCCTAAAAAGTTTCATTTTTAATCATATGCATGTTATGTCTTATGCTGAAAGTTTTTTGTTGAATGCCAGTTAAGTTTGTGGGAATCTGTGTGAATCTAGATTTCCTCAAATTCTAACACTTGGTATTTTTGGGGCTAATTTTATCTGCTGGGTTTTGGAAATATATTAGTTAAACTAACTTTTGTTCTGTATGCATCCTCCCTGCCAACAGTGGAGAAACACCTTTAATAGATCCTGCATCCTATTGTAAAATATTGTCCAGTAATCTGATATGACGTATTGAGCATTTATTTATTTTTTTCATTGAGGTTACATCAGATGATCAGTGAGAACTGAAGCCTGAGATTTTTTTCCCTTCATTTGTCTCTGGGGGAAAAGACAGCTGCAGGTTACAGACACACACATTGGAATTCTTTCCCCCTCTGGGAAGTGTCCAGATGGTGTCCTACCATCCCTGATGATTTTTACAGTTGCCATAATTTATCTTGTCCTTGAGATCAATTTGCTTATCATTGCCTTTTTTCCTCTCAGTTGTCAGGAAGCTCCAGGACTTTGAGCTGCCTTACGTATCGATTACCAGCCTGCGGAGCTCTGATCATCACATAGTCTTACGGAAAAGGTAAGCAGTCCCTGTTCGCTGTATAAGTTTGATGACTTGAATCTGTATCCTGAGCATCTAAAATATCTAAGCAATAAAGAATACTTTCCATTCTCCATCATATAATGCAGTATAGACGGTTTATCAATTTTATTTGTGAACTCATATCCGTTGATCTGCATTTCTGACAAGGTCTTACTTTGAAGAGAGGCTGTTTTGGTTGTCAGCTGGTAGACTTGCATGAGATTGTGAAATGAAATGACCTTTAGTTCCAAATTCACTACTTCCTCTTTCAGTTAATCATGCAGCATCTCTTACAAAGTCAGTACTTTTGCAAGAAGTTTGATCTGTCGATCTAGTTTTTTTTTTTTTTTTTTTTATTCTTTAATCCTTGTCTGTTTAACTTGCCTTTATAAATATAGCCTTAATATGTGTGTGTGTGTGAGAAGAACTGTGTTGTCAAACATCTACGCCATAGATGTTGTTCCGTGCAGAGAACAGCAGTAGCGTTAGCTAGAACGAATGCTGTCCAGCATATTTTTACTGTTAAATAAACCGGAATCATTTTGGCATAATAACAATAATTAACTGTACAGTAACTTGATATGGATAAATTGCATTATTAGGTTTTCAGAATTTAACTAAAAATGAACTGTTTTATTACCTGAGAAGTGGACCTGTTACAAACATTTCTAAAAAAAACACTTTTACTCTGCAGGTTAAATACCATTTATTTATAGTCCGTCCTGAAATTGACTCAGTTTGGTTCAGATATATCAGTTTTTGTTGCAATGTACATCAGCGACTCCATTTTCCAAGGAACATGTCTGTAAAAGTTTGGTGAGGAAATGGAGATAGTTGAGTACAACCTGTTGCCAGTTGTTGATAGAAGTTTGCTGTGGGATTAAAGTTTTTAAGTTTTAATAGGAGCTGCACATTATGTAGAATTGCAAACATCACTGCTTATCAACAATGGCTATGATTTATAGATTAAAAGATTTTTTATTTCAGCTAATGTAGGACTTGGTAACAGTGGGAGTTGATGTACTTTGGTGCTCTAAAACAAAAGAAGAACAATAATGTCAGCAATAATCTAAGAACTACTACAGTGCATCATTGAGTGTGGGGTAAGGACTTTGTTTTTTTTTTTTAGTGGGTGTTCTTTATTCGATGAAGTAAACTATGACTCATGAGTGGAAAACATTAAAAAGTGAAACTTCAAGCATATTCTACCCTGAAGTTGGACTCTGCTAACTTCAGTGACTTCAGTGGTACTCTACAGTTTGCATTTAGATTTTGTTTTGTTTTCCTTTGCATCTATAAGCAGTTTCTAATTTTCTCCAAATGGTGGTTTTGTGCGTTGTAGACAAAGAAAAAACTGTTCCAAAGGTCTTCTGTTTGTTTAGATGTACCATTGGAAACCTAAGCCATGCTGCCATGTTGATTTTTACATGGAAAGAGGTTTTCAACTTTCTAAACCTTGCAAAAAAAAAAACTATGTTAGTATTTTTATTGATGCACTCTGATTAAACTAAACCAAGATTAACCTCAGATTCTAGTGTAAATGACGACTGTTTAAGCTTAATTAAAGGCCAGAATAATTGTGCAACATGATCGTAAAATTTATCACAACCTCTTCTGCATATTGAAGTATGAGTCCGATGTGAGCACAGGAGACAGACAATTAAATAGTTGTTTTAAAGTAAAAGAAAAAAAATTTAACAAACATCCCAATGTTAGAACAACTGTATAGTCCTTTGTATGGCCTGAAGTCTGACTCCTCCTTTTGTCAACAGTACATGGTATTTAAACTTCCTTGTGAGTTTATTCTGTGGTCACCCAGCCTCCTGCTGACTCTGGAGGTACACAGGATGTTTAACTTCTTCCTCCCTGAAATGAATTCTCGGCCCTGCTGACCTAGTTTCATGTTGGATTGAAGGGAAGCAAGGAGGCAAAACTGACTGTAGACCTAACAAGATAAGGAAGATAAACTTAACCCCTCAGTGTATGAGACAGCAGGATAGAGGAAGGTTAAAGAGGACCATTAAGTTCCTTTTTTTAAAGATACCTAAAATGTCAACAAAACACTAGATTTTGCCCTTGAATTTTATCTAATGTTTTATATAATGTTCTGTTGCCATATTTATCAGTACACTCCATATTAAAGCTACTAAACTCTGCTTTTATTTTACTCTCCTCTCTCCTATTTTCATCCTAATCTAGTCTTCCTCCTTTTCTTCCCCCAAATAGCTGAAGGTGTTATATTATTTAGAGAAACTTATGCTTATTATGGTTGATAGATGTATTAATTCAACCTTGAAAAAATTTAGATTTGTAATTTTCAGTAATTTGAACTTTTGTAAGATTTGTCAAAATTACTGTAACCTCAGTAATACACAATTTTCTGCATTTCTCAAAAAGCATAACGTAATTTTATTATTTTATTATTATACTTTTTTAGTTACCTATTCTATCCTCCTCAAACTGTTTTTTTATGTTTCTTTTTATATATTAAATATTTGTTTAATACAATGAAGTTTATTGTCTTGTAGATCTCAGCAAATGATTAACCATGAAACATTTATCAGTTACAGAAAAGCAGTTATTGAAGTGAATTTATAAAAGTATATTTAAATGAATATTAACTCTTTATGTAAGCTGAGTTCTTCAATGTTGTCATTTACTTCCAGAGGTTGATTTGTAGGTATTTTGAATTAGAATTAAGCCTTTTGAGATATCAGAGAGTTATATTACAACTATTTACCTTCTCTTTGGGGGTTTTATGAAAATATAAACTTCATTTTAACAAAAAAAACAACCCAATATTTTTTAAGATGTTTTGTATGTTCAGTTTTTAATTTTCCAGGATCTTCTTTGTATTCTCAGCTACTGGGACATGGCATATGATGCAGATGTGATGGACAACAGAGTTGGTCTGAATTTACTCTACGCCCAGGTAAGAGACCATCTATATGATGAACTCTAACTCTCCAAAAAATCATCTTATTTTGAACTGTTTTATGAAAAATGCACATAGGTCCCATTAACTGGTAGCTGCAGAAATGATACGGCCATATAGTTGGGGGAGTGTTGGCCTAGTGGTTAGGGCATAGAGCTTGGAATCGTGAGGTTCTGAGTTGGAGCCCCACTCCCCCAGATTGCCACTCTGAGTCTCTGAGCAAGACCCTTAACCCCCCGCTGCTCCCTGGGCGCCCCGCAATGGCAGCCCACTGCTCCCCAAGGGGATGGGTTAAATGCAGAGGTACATTTCTCCAAAGTGAGATCAATAAAGTTAAATTATTATCATTATTATATAACTTTGCCTTTTCCTGAAAGTAACCCACCTACAGGGTTAAACTAAAATTCCTTCACTTTGTTTTGATCTAAAGTTCAGACAGACTGATTTATTTGGTGTAGAGGATTTTATCTTCCCTCTCTTGCCTTCTTAGACAGTGTCTGACATTGAGCGAGGCTGGATTCTGGTCAACAAAGACCAACACAGGCAGCTAAAATCACTACAAGAGAAAGGCTCCAAGAAAGAAGTAAGGACTTCTCTCTAAAATTATTTTTCACAATTCTCACTTCCTTCCAGTGAATATATTTGTCTAATTCGAGTCTGCTAGTAAGGAAAAATACTTGGTGGATGCTGGTACAACTTTCATTTTAAATGTTTCTTTGTGTTTCTTTTTTTTCCTTTTATTGTTGCCCCCAGTTAATCTTTCTCGGTCAGACCCTGAAATATTATGGCTACTTAAAGTTTGATCCCTGCATCACGGACTTCCCCGAGAAGGGCTGCCAAGTCATTGTCAGCGCTGGCAACAATGAGCTCAATTTTCATGTCAAGCTGCCCAATGAACAAATGAAGGAGGGAAGCTTCAAGGTGACGCGAATGCGCTGCTGGCGAGTCACGTCTTCTGTAAGTGGAACAGGTTCATGGATCCTAGTGAGAAAGGTTCCTTACAGAAACAGATTTAACTCTGTTCTTTTTTCCATTCCCTTAAAAGTTAACAGCTGCTACTTCGTCTTTTATTAGTTCATTTCTTTTAGATTAATTCATCATCCTTACATTGAAGTTCTCCTATTTAAACAGCTAGCAACACATGCATGTGTATTTTAACTCTTATTCTTCTACTTTTGTTTCATCCGTGCCCAGAAAGTGTCTTATTTTTTTGTCCAGCAACCTGACCTGTCTGGGTTTGAGGCCCACCAGGGGCTTAGAGGTCTGCAGATAAATCCTTTCTATTCATTCTTCATTTCTTTTGAAGGAAAAAAAAAATTGCACACCTGCATCCTGTAGAAGATTATTGACTTTCTATGCACTCAAAGTTCCCCATTAAACCAAGTTCCCACTTAAAAAGAGTTTTGAGCAACTTGATTTCGTTTTAAACCCACTGATTTTCTCAGGTCTAAGCATTTCCTGCATGCATCTTGAGAAATTTCTTGCAGCCCAAATGTCTGGGATGCTCTGATAAAGAGTTTCCTCCTAAAGGACTGAAAGCATAAGAAATATCCTTAAAGGCTTCCTACAATGATTGGCTTTTAAATATTGAATTAAGGAGCATAGGCAACATCACACACACAATATAGCAGTCACTTTAAAATGAAATTCACTAGTTTAACACTGAGTGCAACATTATAGAACTTTTTAAATTGTCCTTTAAAATATTTCAAGATATTTATCCCTACAGGATGGAACAGGAGTCTGCAGGTTATTTTCTATGGAAAGTTTAAAAAGTCCTTGTGCCTCAGTGATGGAAAGAGGGAAGTTACAATGTAAAATTTTTGAGAATAAAGAATATTTTGGGGCACTTTGCTAACATGCATCTAAGATCTCACATAATATTACGTAAAATTATTTAAAATTATATTAGATATTTAAAAACCCTAGGTTTACAGTATCATAATAAGTAAAATAATAAATAATTCAGGAGGAGTTAGAGTATCTGTGGCATTTTGAGATTATTTAACAGAAAATAAGGAGGACATCATTTTGGATTGGGGGATTTACTAAAATAATCCTGTTGGTTTTATTGCAATTTCTGGAGAGCAAGGTGCTGCAGCTCCATTCCTTGGCTGCTATTGTCCTGCAACTTTAGATGCAACCCCGCTACAAAAGACCTGAATTAAATTAATCTTTAATGGTCAAACCTTTGCTAAACTTGTCACGCTAAGGGGTGATTCAGCTTATCGATTAAATGTTGGAGCAAGGATGCATCCGAATGCCGGCAGGAATATGATCATCTATACTTTATTGACCTCCAGGGAAATTCAAGTATTCAGTAGAGAGGAAGCTGGGGACCAGTTATCAGAGAAATGGGAATTCTTGACCCTTTTCCATAAGACTGCCAACATTTTTATTACAAAGAGGTTGAAGGTTAAAAAAACGAAGCTGCTTTGCTGTAAACAAAGTGTCAATTCCTGTTTAGGAGCAGACTTAGAATTATAATCAAACATGTCTCAGTGGAAAGTTTCTTTAAAAAAATGGTTTCAGATGCTTTCAGGTATGGGCAGCTCGCTGATACTAATCATGGCCAACTTTGTCTCTTGCTCGGCAATAACTTCTCACCTTGACCAATGAAATAATCGGTTTTATAAACTTCTGACTCCCCCGATCACTTATCTGGGTTAAAATCAGCCCAATGCTGGATTTAAGGGCGGATCAAAATAAATTCTGGGGTGATGGATACTAAGACTAAATACAGTAAAAGATCAACTTTCCTACCTTTATGATTGCAGCAAAATTCTCACCATCTACAAAAATCTTGCTTCTGTTAAAGACGGATTGCACAGACAGCACTATTCAGAAACTAGCTCCTCACTTTTGTATCTCACTAATATGTAAGCAGCTGCTATGTGTATGAAATAAGCTATTTAGGCTTCTCCAAAAGTGAATTTGCTCTCTGATTTAGACACATGGCAACACATCAAATGAAAAATGCTGATTACAGACCTGAAGCTGCCCAGCAGGGTGATTAATTCCTCTGCTCCCTCTCAGAGGTCGAAGTCATTTTAATGAGCCCTTTCCTGTCCAACTAAATATCTCCAGCATCTCATTTAGTGCAGCTCTGAAACCCCCTTCAATAGCTGAACCTCAGATTACATGTAAACAGTGGGTTGTTGCATTTTTTTCCCTCTGGTCTATTGTTTGAGTCTGATTAGCATTCCATAGAGAAAATGTTCTCAGCGAGGAGCTCAGCTTCTCAAAAGGTTGATTTTCAGGGATCTCAGAAACACGGTTTTGATTTAATGAGAAATAAGCTGAGGCAGTAAAAGAAAACACCTCTGGCAGCAAAGGGATTGTTTTATGTTCTTGACAGAAAAGATAAAGGCAAAATAATGTTGGTATAATTTCTGTTTTTTTTTTTGTTTTTTTTTCCAACTTTGCAGCAAGTCCCTGTATCAAATGGTACAACTAATCCCTGCAACTCTGCAAAGTATGAGGTCAAATTGGAGCTCGCCTTTGAGTATCTAATGAGCAAAGATCGCCTCCAGTGGGTCACCATCACCAGCCAGCAGGTAGGAGCCGCCTGGTGAGCTCAGTGTGGAGGCTGCAAGTAACATGGAAAGCATTTATTTTCTCCATAATGATCCTTTTTTTGTTACTTATTCCTCCATAAAGGTTTTGTTCTTAAGATGAAACTTAAGCGAAAAGCTGAAAGTTTTTTTTTATATAGCAATAAAGCTATTAGTCTGACACGTATGCGCAGAGCGTAATGGTGCTTTAATTACATATATTATGTTGAGTCATGCACTCAGAAATGTGTGAGAATGACTCCACCTACTTTACTCTTCTATATTTGTTCGGTTTATAAAGCTAACTTTGTGCTTTCAGGCCATCATGATGAGCACTTGCCTTCAGTCTATGGTGGATGAGCTAATGATAAAGAAGTCAGGTGGTAGTATAAAGAAGGTTAGTATTTAGATAATGAAACATTTCAGTTTTCTATATTTGAGTTTGTAACAGTAAATAAATCTCCCCATAATGTACTTAATACTTTCTTTTCCTCCTTTTAGATGCTGAGGAAGCGTCACAACGGCTCCATCCACCGGTCTGACAGTCAGCAAGCTGTGAAATCCCCCCCTCTACTGGTGAGTAGTGGAATAGCAGACTGTCTCATGGAAGTGTGGATCTACTGTGAATTGGTTTTTGTTGTTTTTATGGTTGCAGGACTCCCCTGATCCAAACCGTGAACAGATTGTTAAGCTCTCAGTGAGTACTTTAGTTCATTTTTTGTAGTCTGTTAACATAAAATCTGAGGTTTGATAACCTTTAATTGTTTCTATATTTGTTTAGACTAAGTTGAACACGGTGTCACTCAGAGGGATGAGTGCATCCAACTCTGCCAACGACATCAGCGGAGACGACTTTCACGGCAACTATGCTTTCGAGGGAATTGGGGATGATGACCTGTAAAGTCAGATTCTCCTTCTCCTCATTCCTCAATTTACCGCTGACAACTAAAGCAACAAAGATAACGAGCTGAACTGAGCCGAGTGGTCCACACGAGGCGTCCACGTCTGCAAGATTGTAGCTTCTTCCTGGAGAACTTGCTGCCTTAGAGCTCCTAGTTACTCTTTTCACCATTGATCTTTTTAGACTAAAAGCTCATCTCGATTAGTTCGAGTTCTAATCATTCCATTTACTTTATGACTTTCATTGGCCTACAAAAAGAAACTTTTTTTGTCTGCATGTTGATCTCCAACCACAGAGCCAAATGTGTGTGTGTGCGTGCATAATGTGCAGACCTGCCACTAGTGATTATGTACCAGAACTGGGCATAATAAATGCTCACAGTGATCCAGCAAATTCCAGCGAATGTGTTTAGATATATCTCACAACAGCAGAACATTTGGAGCAAATGGTTTGCCATATAGATAACTCTTTTGGTTTCCATACTCGTGTGCCAAGTTAGCAAAAATAAAGAGTAGTCTAGTTAGATGTGTCACATATACAGCCTTCAGAAGTAGTCTGATGCCTTAACTTTTCATGCCATTTAGAGCAAAACACTTTGAACAATTAGAATCTTGCAGAAGTTGATGGAAGGGTTTTTTGTTTTTGTTTAATTGGTGGTGGAGCTGCTTGCACTTGCCGAACCCATCATTTTGCACAGTATTATAAATACAGGTGAGCTGAATTTTTTAACTAAAGCTCAAGCGTGACTTTAAACAACATGATCGGAGAGTCCATTTTATATTGTTTTAGCAGGTTTTAAAGTTTCTCATTAATGCCAAATTATAGTTTACTAAAGCATTTTGCACAAAATAACAAAAATTGTCACTTTTTATATTCTGTACATGCAAGTAAACATTCTGAACATTTACTTTTATCTGTATCATTATTGCTTGTAATCAAATATCTTAAATATAATCTAAGCTGTATGAAACAAAGTCGACATGGACCAACATTAATCATGTTTACATGATGCTTGGGGGGAATGTCTTGGTAAAATCGAAAGTGTTTACAAATTTATCGTCGTTTTTTTTTTGTCTCGTTTTGTTCAGATAAATGATCCTGAAGGGGAATGTTCTCTTTGATTTATTGTGGTTTGTTGGTTGCTTCAATCATGTTGAATGTTTTAATTACAAAGAAACGGTGCTTCGAAGTGGGTAATTTAATCAGTTTGTTTAGTGGACAGAATTTCTGCAGAGGAGGCAAAAAAGTGAGCATATTCCACAGTTTTAGAAAATGTATCGTTGGAAGTTCTGTGTCTCCATGAGTTATGAGGCCTCTAGATGTAAATCAGTGCTAACCGATCCACAGCTTTATTCTTTGATTACTGGAATGACAAATTAGATCTCAATGTAAACGTTATATTCTTTCACTACTGTCATTCTTTTTACTTCTGCTTCAATATCTAGGTCAGTTTCCACATCATAGGTCATTTTTAATATTCTCCTCTTGCTGTCAATACAGAGTTCCCCAGCAGTGCAAGATCCTGGGGGTTGGTAAATGTGTATGTGCCAAATCTCACCTAAGTGTTTTTTTTTTTTCTTTATTAGCAAAATTTTCAAGCTGTCAGATTTCATGAAAAGTAATCATCAAGTGTCCAGATTCTAAAATAAATTTTAAAAATGAAAAGACTTTGTGCCTTTTATATTATTGTGACCAAGGAGTCCTGAAGTATGGTGTTATTTTGCATTCATTCCCTTTATTTTTGATACTTCCCAAAAAAACTTCTGGTTAACTGATATACTTCAGAAGTCACAAAAAAAAAGAAGTTACAGTTGTATCTATGGCAACACAGTGATGCCCCATATTTCATATACCTAACTTGTGATTTTCTGTCAGTGATGCAGCAAACTGGCAGAATTTGCATTTGGAGGAACATGTTTCCTCCGCCATGACACCTGCTGCCTGTACCCTTAGCGGGAACGCACAAACAGAGGGTTGGTGTTTATGGGCTGGTTTGGGATTGGGCTATAGTCACTGTGCTATTTGGAAACATGGTGTGTACCACACTCAACATGGACCAGATGAAGCGAAGGAAATAGTTCTCAGGAGATTAGACCTTTAACGACAAGCATATTAAAGGTAAAGGCTGTGAGACAATCTCCAAGCTGCTTGTTATTCCTGTCTACAGTTGTACATTTAGAAATTGAAGATCCATGGGGCTGTAGCATTATTTACAATTGATGACAAATCAGATATGGATAACATGAATGGTAAAAGAGGCCAGGAAAAAAAGAAATCTAAGGAGTTAAAGGTGAACTTTAACTTTGTGGTGGAGCACCAATTTTACAGTTTTTTCAGAAGCACATTTGTGAGGTAATTAACAGATGTATGAGGAGAAAGCATGGCTCCCATTCTCCACTAATTAATCCAATAGGTGGTCTGTACGCTTGAATTTAGGACTCATAACAGGTCAGTAAAGTTCACCCACACCAAACTCTCATCTATGCCTTTATGGACCTTGCATTGTGCTCTGCTCCAGTCAGTTGGAAGAGGAAGGGGCCATTTCTAAACTGCTCCCACAAAGCTGGAAGCCTTATGATGTTCAAAATGTGGTGTCCTCAAGCATCTCTTTGTAAAATAAAACCTGCTGAAAGCTACAGATGTAGTGAAAAGTTTCTTTAGATATGAAAAAGTTGGTTCCACGGTTTTACAAATGAAACAAAACTAAACCAGACTGTGCAACTTGGATAAATGCTTAATGATGTGCCTCATTTAAAACAAAAACAATGACAATTGGCTTGATGTTTGACATCTGATTATATTATTTCCAGGTATTTATTCCAAGCTCTTCACAAAAACAATGAGATGCCCACCAGCAGAACAGATAATAGAAAATCGATTGGCAACGCCTGCAACCTGGAAAATGTCTTGCATGACAGCCACAAAAACTAACATGGCAGCTAATTACACAGTGCTGTTAAAATGTGCATTACAGCCAAGTTAGAGAGATGGCAAAGGAACAAAAAAAACACCAGAACTTGTTCACATGCTTACGATTAGTTTAATCTCTTTTCCAAAAGAACAAGAAATTTCACAGTAAATGGGAAACTAATTTAAAGCAGAGTTCAAGGCTTTCATCAGAGACATTTATGATGGGAAACTTTAAAAATGAATCATCTCTGGGCTGCATGTAGAGCATTTCTACCAATGCCTAACCTGCGCCTATACATTTCTTTAGGCTTCATAAATGCTATGAAGTCGTTTCAGTTGGACTGTATTTTTATATATATATATATATATATATATATATATATTATTTTTTTCCCACTTAAATCAAATTTAAACTAATCATCCAATATGCAAGTTATTACCATTTCATGACCATTTTTTTTTATATAGATTTTCGGTTTTCTGTTGCTGCTTTTGATTTAGAGAAATTATTTCATAAAACAAGAACATACCAGTGTAGATCGCAAGAGTCATTGCTTGCTTCTTATTATATTAGTTTAAAAATGTGATCAATTATTGGTTTGGATCTGTAGAACTATGATTACTGGACTTGTGTTGATACTGAAATAACCTGGTTAACGTTCACCCTAGAAGTCTGCAATCAATTTAATAAGGAGTGCTTAGCGCTGGACGATCCAAGCATGCAGAGCAAAGAAACTGTGAGCACAAAAGCAAAACATTACACCTGAAAGCGGCAATGTGAACGGCCAGAGTAAAAGCGGTGAGTGTCTGAGCCGGATGTAAGAAGACAGCTGAGCGTTGTGTGAATAAATGCTGATGCCACATTTATCATAAAACTTTAAACACTTTAATTTATTGCTCTTATCTCAACTTGGCACTTTTTGATCGGCAGCAACAGAAATCAATACAAACCCACACTGAGCATCAAACACCCTCTTACAACAATCTAAGCACATTTAATGGTTGAAGTGTTTTTTTTTTTTAAGGCTAGTCTGCAATACGTGCCTGAAGTAACCAAACAGCAAGATTCATTTTATTAAGTCAAGACTAATCTACTTACACTCCCAAAAAGAGTGAAATGAACCTCAATAGGTGTTAATATAGATTTCAAAAATTGCTGAGATTAAATCTAAACCGCAGGGCCCCATGGAAACCGAAAACGGCCCATTAACATGCTAATCATGCAGTTATAGATCTATAATAACTTTTTGTCCAGTTTTTTTTTTTTTTTTTTTTACTTTTACAGATACATTTTGGGAAAGTTTAGCAAAAATTAGAATGAAACGTAAATAAAACTTGACTATAACTGCATTACAGACATCCATAAAGACACACACAAGTTCTGTATCATTAAATAGCACTTTGATAAATACATTAATCTGAAGGCATAACACCAAGAGCTTGAACTTCAGTAAAAAAAAAAAAAAGCACAATTAGGTCCTCTCCGGAGCCTACCTGCTTACAGTTGCACTGTGAGCTCTTAGGCAGGCACATCAAAAAATCGGATGTGGAAGCTGACAGATGGTGGCATAAATCTAGCAGTAATTTAGCTCACAATGTTAAAAAATGTTGAACCCATTTAACGGTATTTAAGGTTGATATGAAAAATATCTCATAAGTGCATTAATGCTGTTTAAAGGAGTTGACAGTGCAGCTGAAGCAGATAAAGGAGTTCCACAATGATGCCAATATTTGGTTATTTCCTCCTTTCAGATGAAAACATCCATGTAGTGTAGGAGTAAAATATCAGAAGGTAGGAGGGGAAATTTATACAATCAGACCGAGAAAAAACTGATTTCCCTTTTTCTATTTTGACATAAGAAATTATATAAATTAAACTGTCACCCCCAAAAAGGCATCGATAGATAAAAAAATTAATAAGTCAGCGAGTTCAACTTACAGGATAATTAGCAGCCATAGAAGAGATCAGACGTAACAAGACGGACGCACATCAAAACCATAAAAAAGGCTCGGTGAAAACAATCAAAAACAAGTTGCTGGTAGCTTCGTTTCACCGTCTTAGAATTTATGCAACCTTAAGTCTGCAGTTTGAGTGTACACCCAGAGCCCCCCTCCCTCGGCATGTACTGCATATCAGCTGCAGCCTCTTTTCTGTGAGTCTGAATGCCTCCTCCCATCCCTTTTCTCTCGTCCTCCTCTACGTCGGTGCCGATCATGGGAACCTTCACCCAGCCGTCTGTGGCCACGCCGTGTTTTTTCTGGTGTCTTTTGTAGTTGTCCCAGTGGCCGGTGGTGTAGCCGCACTCCTGACACTTGTACGGCTTCTCACCGGTGTGCCTCAGCATGTGCCGCTTTAGGTTCATGCTCTGGTTGCAGGTATAGCTGCACACAGGGCACTGGAAGGGCTTGGCGCCGGAGTGCACTCGCTGGTGCCGCTTGAGGTTGGCCAGGTTTCCACACGCATAGTCGCAAAGATGGCACTTGTAGGGCTTCTCCCCCGTGTGCACCCTGTGGTGGCGTTTGAGGTTGTCGAAGTGCGCTGAGGCGTAGTCGCACTGGGGGCACTTGTACGGTTTCTCGCCGCTGTGTGTTTTCATGTGGCGTGCCAGGTGGTTGGGATAATGGGTGAGGAAGGGGCAGGCGGCGCATGTGTAGACTTTGTCACTGCGCTCACCTGGGCTATTCGGAGATGAAGAGGAGTCTTTAGTCAGCATTTCAAGAGTACACTTGGCACAAATCTGGGCTGAGGAACCATCCTCGTCCTCAAGGACGATCCCACATAGCCGGCAGGTAAAAGGGAAAAGGGAAGGTGGGAGAGTGGCACCTTCTGCTACGGCCCCTGGAGTAGTCCTGCTGCTACCGCTGCTGCCAGTCATCTCCAGCAGGGGCGGAGCTTGGTGGCCAGGTGCTGGATTTGAGGCAGGGATGTGGGGTGGTGATGCTCCTTTCAAATTATCAAAGACTGCAAGGTAGTCACTGTTCTGGGTCCCCAACGGGAGGTTAGAGGTGGGCCTGGAAACTTCGGACACTAGGAAAACAGAGCAGAGTGAGTTAGCGTGGCATATAATAGACAGTTATGGATATCATTTAAAGTTCATGCCACAACCAATAATTTTGAAAGGTGTCATCACCCAAAAAGCTGACATTTTGTTTTGTTAAAACATGTGCTGGTGTTTGGTTTTAGTTCTAACCTGGAGAACAACCTGAAGCGTGAAAGGGGCTTTGAATATTTCCTGTCAGTTTTCTTTAAAAAAAAAAAAAATGTGTTTAGACAAAAAAAAGAGATTCACTTACTAACCGTTATTTATATTTTAGCAAGATTCTGAATTGATCCAAAATTGCAAGGAAAAAGTAATTAAGCAGACGTGTCAGGCAACAGCCTCTGTAATACATGGTTCCTGCCAAGGGCGCAGCGCTCTAAAATTGCTTTAAAACCAGAAGCTAAGTAGATTCAGGTAGTGGCCTTCTCTCTCCACTCTAAACCGGGGTTTTTCCGCTCAAAATTTATGGTGCATAAAGGATGATTTTGGAAACTGTTTTTGTAGGTAAATGTATGACTACACAGCGAAGCCTCAAAATTAATGGATTTTTATGCCTCCTTTCTGCCCCTCTCTCCATTCATTCCTATAGGATTGTCTGGTGTGTTTTTGGTGATTTCTGTCGCCATAATAACTCGAAACATGAAGAACAGTAAGAGCAGACATCTCGAGATTGAGCCAAATGTTTTGATACCACTATTGAAGAATGAGTTTATGTTCACGATGAGGTGAAGGGCTGAGAATAAATACCTTATCTGGGTGAAAATGTATATATTTTTTTCATCCCTCTGAGACTTGATGTCTTAAGGTCAAATTTTAATCTGAAATGATGACAAATGTATTTAAATTGATAATTAAGCCAAGACCACGTTCAGCAGAATTATATCAGAATGGTTCAATTTTTTAGAAAGGCCCAGGTAATGCTCAGACTTACCTAATTAAATGTTTTAAGGTCTGAACATTACTGCTTACAGAGTGTTAGTCCGAATGGACTGAGCTCAAGCCGTTTCTCATGGGGTGTGAATACTTTTAGGAAGCCCTGTGAGGCGTTGAACCTCAGGGAGCCTTACCTGAAGCCCCACTCGCCTCCTTGTCTGGTCTTTGCTCATTCATAGGCCTCTTCAGGCTGTTTTGGCCACAGGCTGGCTGCAATGGGGAGTCCTGTCCCATCCCTGCAGAGGGCATCTGTGGAGAATTAGGCACATGCATGCGCTGGTGCCTCTTAAGGTTTCCAAGGGAACTGCAGGCGAAGGAGCAAGTCTCACATTTGTAAGGTTTTTCCCCAGTGTGGATGCGCAGGTGTCTCTGCAGGTTAACCAGCTGGGCTGAGGCGTAAGTGCACAAAGGGCAGTTGTAGGGCTTCTCCCCATTGTGCGTCTTCATGTGACGCTTTACGTGGTTGGCATAGCGTGAGGAGAAGCCACAGAGGTGACACGAGTGCTGCTTGAGCAATTTGTCCTCAGGGGACAGTTCTTCCTTGTCATCCTCCCCGTTCCCCAACCCCTCACTATCAGACTGGGATTCTGGACGAATCTGTAAACCTGAGCGAATCCCAGCACTGCTCCCGAAAGTGGAGCAGAAGTCTGTGCTTTTTGCCTCCCTGGAGGCTTTGCAACACCTTAGGCAAAATGGCCCAACAAGGTCCATGCCAGGTCCAAGCGGTTCATCACGGAGCTGTCCACAGCCCCTGCAGGAAAGGTAAGGAGGAAAAGTTGGCTCAGACTGGGTCCCTTTACTCTCGTATCCTCTCCTGTTTTCAGCTGTGCTGCTCGAGTTGTCCGTTTCACTCTCCATACTGAGCTGGCTGTAGGAAGAGCTCTCCTCATCACCCAGAGAACACACGGAGAAACCAATCTCAGCAGCTACCTCTGTAAAAGAAAAACAAAGAGTCTCATCCAACTAGTCCTCCAAGCATCAAGTAAAATACATCAAAAAAATAAAATCTGCAAATTATACAAACGCCACATTAGTCAAGGGGAAATATTATGTGATGCAGTTTGAGGAAAAACTGAAAATACAGATTTATAGTAAGGCATGTGAAAATACAGATCCAGTATAAATGGTTTCTAAATTCAGACATAAATAACTTGTTCTCTTAACAAAAGTACCATTTGCACAAATTAAAGTAAAGCAGAAAAAGAAAGGGTCAGTCTTCATCATTCCATCTATGCCATCTTTCAAAACTAAACTTTCTGCAGGTAGATCAACACTGGACAGCACACAAGTGGTTTTCTAATCAAATATTTATCTAGATATCATTTTTCTAGGTTATGCCTCTACCAGCTTCAGATTAAAATATGTGTAAGTCAGACCGAGTGAAGAGCCTTGGTCAACAGTATTTTTTAAAGTCTTACAGCAGCTTCTCGAATCAATTTAAGTCAGAAGTTATAACCTCCATGTTTTTCAGTTAGAGCTCCCAATTTCCTAATTTTTAGCTCCACCCATCCCCTCATTCACTCTATGCATATGAACACTTTCTGTTAGGGTTTAACCAACATGATAAATACGGCTGCTGTGTTTCCAAAAAAAAAAAAAATTAAACATCCATTCATTCTTTGTGCATCGAGGAAAACTGATCACATGCCTGACGTTGCTGCACTGCTGTATTCCATAAACGATCTAATAACTATAAACAGAATAATGTCCTGAAGTAAAAGGTTTCAGTGGATATTTATAGCAGTAATAAAGTAAAGAGGCTGAACACAAATGCAAGCTGAATTCATCAATTTCTATTACTAGATCATTTCCTTTTACTTCATAATAATGCAACACTTTCTCTATGTGTCCTATATAAAGCAGCAATATTTCACATTGCATTTTATGGAACCAATATAAACAATAAGGATTATTCAAAGTATAGGAATACTCATGAATAAACAGTTAATGGCCAAACGCTGTGGATGCATGAAGTCAAATGCACATCTGTACACCCTTATGTTCTCTAACATAAGTCCAGTTTGCAGAGTACATACATTCCTCTCATAACACACAAAAACATGAAAACAGAATTATTCTCAAAACATGTTGCACAGAAGCCTTCAAGATGTGAGGTAAGGACTCTGCATCAAAATAGTCACAGCTACACTGTTTAGTTTAGTAAACATCCCAAAGGAAAGGAGGAAGGATAAATGCAGTGATTGCACTTAATTTGTGGAGGAGGAGATGAAAAACTTCTTCCGTCTCATTGCTGTTTTACTGTTGCTAGCTTATTAAACATATGCAGATTTGACTATCCATGCAGCTCAGAAGAGAAAATCTTAGAAACAACCACAATTCAAAACCTATACCTCTGAGTAAACCAAGAAAAACAGAAAAGAAATGCTGAGGATTACAGAAAGTCCATCCTGAAAGCTTAACTTTAAACTAAAATCTTTTCAGAGAATAAAATAATACTCACAGTTTATAAAAAAAAAAAAAAAAAAAATGTTTTTTTTTCCCCTTACAAAAGGTTTTAAAAAAAGATCAAATAAAAAAAATCAAGGCTTTAACATGCCGTGCTCACGAAATCGGAAAAAGCAGCCACCTTCATCTCCAGATGCTGAAGCACAAAGTGAGGAAGAGGAGATGTGGAGCTGGCCTTTTATCCTGGAACCCCTAACGCATGATTACCAGGCCTAATGATAATGATGATGACTGTAATGGTGAGGCTGCTCCATCTGATGATGATGATAATGATGATGATGATGAGGGCAGATGATGATGATGATGAGGGCAGATGATGATGATGATGATGATGAGGGCAGAAGATGATGATGATGATGAGGGCAGATGATGATGATGATGATAATGGAGTAGTGGGAGTAGGAGCAGCACATGATGATGAATAAATGCCTTCTTATGATGATGTCTTTGATGGTAATGGTCCTGTTTTTATGACCCTTATATAACCTTCCTGCCTCAGTTCCTTCTCTTTCTTTTGCTTTTTCCAACTTTAAAATATAAACTACTCTACCCAACCACTAAAAACTAAAGAGAAATACAAAACATAATAAATATGAACAAATATCAACAAAGGATTGAAAATAACGCAAGGCAATGTATAGGATACAGACGTAAGGAACGCTTTCTTCATAATAAAGAAAGCTAAACTTTGCCCACCTTGCTAAGTTGGGAAGCAGAGGGGGTTCTTAGCTGTTTTGGTGTCGATAAAATTAGAAACAGCTGCACTAAAGGGGCAAAAGGTTGGGGCTGTTTAAACAGAGTATCATTTTCAGTTAGCGCATCAACATTTCAGCAAATTGCACTGGTCTGCTGCTTCAGTTTTCCGGTCTGTCTTTCTCTGTGACCTTAGACTGAGCCCTATGTGGGCATCCTTTTGATACTACCCATTCCATATCAGTATGGCTATCGAGCATACTTCTCTTTCTATTGAGAAGTGCTGAGTTTTTTTTTCAGTATTTTGGCTGCAGCATGCAGAATAATATGAGATAATAAAAGTCTCTAATGTAGATTATTAAAAACAGACAAAAAAGGAGTAAAGAGAGGGTTTAACCAAGAGGATGAAGGCAGGGAGTCAATATACACGTTTGACACTGAAAATACTGATCGAAAGATCTAAATAAGTGTATCTGCCCTCAATTTGAGCAGGTAAATAAGATGATCTACTAATGGAATGATTATTTATGCCCTTAAAAAAAGATACTTAAGACATTATGCACTTGAAACAAGAACATTTAGCCTTTTCTCTCATTTTAAACATAAATCCTCTTTTTCTGTTATTAGATTGTTTTACCTGCTGAAGACAAGGGGAAGTACCCTTCAGAAAATAAACAAAAAATACTCAATATCAAGAAGAAAAAACAACTTATATTTTGTTTTTTTGCAGTGCAAAGAAGAACAAAGGAAAAAAAAGAAAGGGCACATCATTAAGACAAGGTTCTAAAATTACGTTTGGAAATACATTTTTCTTTTAATCTCATCCACACCTGAAAAGTATGGAAATCAATTTCAATATATTTCCTGTCTCTGTAGGAACCCTGGTACTTGAACGTAAAGTCAGTGATGACAAACCACAACGCTTTGAAGACAAGATGAAACTGGACATGGACTTGGTCAGTTTTACACCGCTGCACAAACAAACAGTAGTTTAATACAAACTGGCTCTGAACGAACCTGAAAACTTGTCCAGGCCTAGAATTCGATCATGATCTGCATCAGCAAACACAAGGTCTTGTCCTAGAAGAAAGTCTGTGTCTAAGGGAAGGTTTCCAGGAGCTTCAACTGCTAGACCATCTTCAGAATCCACTGTGTCCAGGAAAAAGAAAAAAAACAAAAACAAACATTCAATCAAAATATTTATAAAACATATTTGGAATGCTCCACATAGTCTTCAGTGTGTTCCCAAAAGACAGAGATAATGGAAATGTTTTTACTTTTCTAACAGAAACTTAACACTAGACTTTTGTCTTTTAGTTAGACGAAATAACACCTAAACATTACTTTACTGTCCCTCCTGAGCAGACATCCATGCTTCAATGATGCTGGCCAAGATTCTCAGTCATCCAGGTCATAGTCATTCCAGAAAAGTGGGGGAAAAAAAATAATGAAATCCACTGGACCTTGTTTCCAAGTTTGAAGACGTTTCGCTTCCCAACCAGGAAGCTTTTTCAATTTAAAAGGTCTGAAATAGCGTTGAGTTCGAGGCTTTATAGAGTGGACTAAATACAAAGCCTTGTTTTGGCTTAGAAAACATGAAAACTAAATGGTACCAAAGGGGCGGACCCATTGGCCCCCCCCGTTTTTTTGTCCCCCCCCCCCTTTTTTTTTAACAGTTTCCTGTCTGGTGATGTGGCAGTAAGAATAATTGTCTTAATGCCAAAAAGAGCCCAACAGATTTTGCTCTCACAAGTGGAGCAGTACGGCTAACACCATAGTGTTCCACTTGATTTATGCATATAAATTGCTTTATTATAATTCATGCAGGAGTATTACAGATTATATGGACACTGTAATGTAAGTAGAACAGGAAAGGAAAGACAGAAAGGAAAGGAGAAAAGATGAATAAAAAGAGGAGAAAAAAGAGAGACAATGATAAAACATCTTCAGTCTGCTTTATCACCTACAAAGAGATGTACGAAGAACATCACAACCAACGGATATAGTATAAGAGATACAATAAAGTAGCACCTTGATACTATCGCTGAAGTATAAGTAGTATTATTTAATCTAACATGTATACTGTGGTACCTGAAGATCAGAATACAGGCTTTCTGTATGGAAGTGAATCTCCAAGTACCTTGAGCCCAAGTACCTATTTTTTTTTTTTTGGAATGCTTCAAATATACCATACTTACTGAAATAAACTCTATAAAAATTTAATTATATCGCTGAAAAATATGTGCACAAAGCCTAGAATAAAATAAAAGCTAAAATAGAATCCAAATTAAGAGAGAAAAACCAACCTTAAACAGAGGGGGACTCAGGTTTCAGCTTTCAAAAACCTTCAATGCAGCAATTGGGTTAATCCCTTTCTGCTATCACCGCAGCCCCATCCCCCATGCAGAAGAGTGAAGGACCTCACCTATTCAGCCAGGCCAACAATACCTTTTAACGACCCCCTTTCAGACACTTAGTCGGGTATGGGGCATTGAAGGTTAACAAAAGAAGCCAACCAATCCCCATTCCAGATGGGTGGACCCTTCGTCCATTTCAATTTGCTTGTTTTCAAAACAAAGACAAGGCTTTGATGGGCTACTGTATACAACCTCGAACTCAACGCTATTCCTGACATTTTGAATTGAAAAAGCTTCCTGGATGGGAATTGAAAAGTCTTCAAACTTGGAAACAAAGTCCAGTGGATTGTTTTTAATGTTCTTTTTTTTTTTGAATGACTATGACCTGAATGACTGAGAATCTTCACCAGTGCAGTGAAAGCTTGTTTTTCAACAAATTTCAAGGCTTTAATTTTGTTCTCCTTTGAATTAAGGTCACCTCCCAGGACGACTAAAATTAAACCTTGTTCTAGAAAGTGATGTTTGCCATTTTTCTTTTTTTTTTGTCTTTCTTATTATGAAACTTGAGGTAGAAAAAATTCAGTGATTAGATGTTTCAGCCACGTTGCCCAGCCCCATGTAGATAAGTGTTGATCTCCTTAGGTCAGAAAGAAGCTACATTAAAATACCACTACCTACAGCCCATCTTTACTGTAAGAGAAAACTGACTTTATCATCACAAATTTAAGTATTTGCCTCTAAACTACATAAACTAAATACTGGAGCTTTGAAAAGGCTTGAAGTTCACACTAAGAGCAGTTTCAGCAGATTCTTCTCGTGACGAAGGCAGAAAAGAAAAAAGCCAACTGCTAGGTGTAACAAAACCACAGGATTTATCAGACCAGTTAGAGTTAAATCTAAAAAAGTTTAACTGTCAGAAAAAAACTTTGTTTTTGTCCCACATACAGTGAAATGCATTTCAATCAGACAAAACTAAAGCTTAAATTTCATTTGGAACTCAAGGATCTATCGTCTGAACTGTCGTTGATGATATGGGATGCTTTATCATCTACTAGTATTGGTCCAATGAATTTTCTAAAGTCCGCATTTGTTACCAACCCTGATGTAAGGAGTTTCTGTGATAAAACAAAAAGAGAGAGAGAGAATCCATCTTATTCAACTTTTGCCTCAACCTTTTACAAACCGACCCAAAATGGGTCAGCCAATCACGTGGCAGTATTTTGGTTTAAGGCGGGAAACATGGGTTTGCAGAAAACAAGGACAAACCAAGATAAACATATCAGCGCCGGAGGATGCATGTGTAGCTAAAAGACATTTGTTTTGTTGGAAACCCTGATTTAACCTTTAAAATAACAACTGAAAGAAGTGCTGTGTGTTTTTTTTGGATGGCAGAAATTATTGTACCTTTTTACCTTTTGGCTCAAACCAATCAATGTGGACACTTGCCCAACTAGCTCAGAAAGTTCTATTGAATGTGTCTGTTTTCTGGAAAGAGGGACAGATGGCCCTGATTGATAACATGACAAATCTTGTTTGTTTATTTCTTTCAGACATGCAAATAAAATGATGTGCATTCACATTTATATTCCAAGCGAGAAACAAAAAGCTGTGTTTACATGATTTGGAAAAATGATGGAAAAGAAGCAAAGCTTATAAGGTTCAAAGCTCCACATGACTCAGCACCTTGGCAAAAACACAATGCAACAAATATGTCATCAAATGAACAGTCAACAGTAACACAAACAAGGACAAACAGATGAAAACAGGCGCAAACACACTGTGATCCTACATCTCTCCTCCATAACATACAGACCATGCAACAATTAAAGAAAGCATAAAGGCTGTCAGCCAGAGAAAAGCTTTGCAGCTACACACTTCACATTCATATCACAACAGATATTAGCCGTTTAAATGTTTCCTCAGAGCACATTGTGAGTAGATTGTATTTATTCAATGCAAAATGCAGTGAAATGGATTTAAAATAAACTAGGCAATATCCATCACAAATGATCCGAGTTCACAGAAATATTCATATATTTGTTTAATTAATAGCAGATGAAATATAAGGCAGTGCATCTGCCATAGGTCAACACACTCACACATTAAACGTTTCTGTCCACTTTCCCCCAATTACTTATTCATCACATATAGCTTTTAAACCTTATTTCAAATAGAGTGACGCTTTTAAAAGATTTCATCTCTTCTGCAAGGCTGCTCCATAACAGACTTATTGACTTTAATGTTATCCAGGCTCTTGGCTAATGTAGTTTATCATTTCTGCTCTGGTTATAATCTTGATGAGCATCTCTAACATGATGGAAATGTTGCATATTATTTGACAAGAAGGTTTTTTTTTTGTGCCTTATACATAATTTGAGCCATCTTATAAATGATCAAATAGGGCGATTATACGTTTAATTAAATAAATAATGTGGATTGGTGTGATCACTGTAAGACAAATTCTGATGACTTGTTTTTGGAGAGCAATTAAAGAAAAAAAATGCATCTTATAGCAATTTCCCAAAACTTCTAAACAATAATTCAAACATTATGAAGTAGTAATACAAAATCAATGATGTAATTTTTATCACCGACACAATTAGAAACATCTGAACGTAAACGGCTGACATTTGGGTCCCCAGCTTTTCATCAATAACTACACTCAGAAAAACAATGTGTTTTACTCTTTCAATTAATGTAATATTAATGTTATTTTGATCAGATTTGTTTTGCAGTTTCCAAACAGAATGATTTTTGTTTTGGTTCTATAAAAATTTATTTCTATGAAATCAATCCGTTTGTTTGTAAATTTCTTGACTTCATGCAAAAGTTTCTTCAAAACATGAACTGAACATAAAGAATAAGTATTATCTGCAAAAATGAAGAACTTTGTGATTTAACAAATGTCATCAAGAAATAGACTTTGCCCTAGGATGGAACCTTATGGTTCTACCCACGGAATATCTCAGATTTGGTTTGTTCAAGTGGTACAAACTAGTCGTCTAACGCCAGACATTTTTAGATTGTTCCCTAAAATGCCCTGATAATAGCCTTTTGAAAATCAACAAATATTCCATAATATATTAATTCTGATGTAGATCATTCTTATCTAGATGCATATTGACTGTTGGTAAGCAATTTCTGTGTAGTTTGTTTTAAATACATTTTAATAGTCTTTGAAACTGAGGCAAAAGGGTAGTTTGTAAAGCAGTGTTTGCCTCCTCAAATAAATAATGGGATTATTTTAGCTGTTTTCACTCACCAGACTGAAAGGACAGATTGCAAATATGTTTAAATACTGTAGCAACATTCCTAAATGTTCTCATATCTATTATTTTAATATCCTGTCAGGGTCTATTGTTGCATTTCATAATCATCTGCAGAACCTTATTCTCTTCGATGGGATTAAGATATATTGATTATTTTACTGTTCTTAATTAAACCAGCAGCGTTTCATCAGCATGTAGAATTTTTCTCGCTAGTTTAGGTCCAACATTCACAAAAAAACAACAAACAAAAAAAACTATTAAATCTCTGCAAAAGTCTCTTCTTATAGTCAATAACAATACAAGACACTATGAAATATTTTGGTTTTAATATCACTTGTTCTGTTATTGATTAATGTAGTGTGATATTGCAGTGTACATTATTTAAGGATATTTGTTTATTTATTATTGAACCTTAGTTCATTCTCTTTCGTTCTGTCCTTAATATCAATCTGCTTTTCTACAGCACTCCATGCTTACTTCTGCTGTGAGCTTTATTTTTTTCCAGCAGTACTTGGCACCCGCCCACATGGCCAAAGGTCAACACAGTTCAATGAACATGGTGTCACTTTCATGATTGGTAAGCAAACTGGCCTGACCTGATGTTAAAAAGAATCCATGTAGTTCTTTCAAGAGAATAATGAGAGATATCAGACTCAACACAAATGACCTGAGCGCAGCTATTACAGCAGCGTGGTCTTCCATCACACCTCAGGAAAACCACAGGTTGATCAGTTTCCATGTTATCCTCCATTGATGCAGTGATTCATGCAAAGGAGGTTCAACCAATTACTGATTGCATTGAAACAAAAATCCTTTTCATAATTCCTACATTTTTGTTTACAATTTGCCTCTTTTTCCTTCTTATTCAACATTCACATACTCTGGTCTTGATTTTTGGCATTTCATTAGTTGTAATCCATGAATACAAAAATTACAAATTAAAGAAAAATAGTTTGCTGCATGTGTAATTATACAATATGTGAGTTTAAGTTGAAAGTGGAATTTAATAGCAACAAAGAACTATATTACTTAACCATATTATTTTTTCTTAGATGTACGTGTAAAGCAAGCAAAAGTTTTGACAGAACAGATAACAACCAAGGCGCAGAGAATCCAGTGTCTACGCATCAAAGCATCTTGAACAAGGTTTGACTCAACTTCCAAATGTCGGCGACTTTGATACCCAGATCGCGTCTGGTGTAAACGCACCTTTATTCATTTCACATTGTCAATACGGTATTGCAATAAGAGATTCATTCTAAGCAATTGTGAACAGAATGGCGACAACAGTCAAGGGCAGCATTTGTAAAATAGTTTGTAAAATATTAAATGTATCATGAAGAGTTAAACATTCAACACGTTTCTATATGTATGTAAAATTAATTACTGAGTAAAAAAAATGCAAATTGTTACCTAATCTAAAAAGATATTTGGTGAAGTAGTTTTTTAGATGGAGGGTGTTCTACAATCAGTGCAGTTTAATTGTAAATTTCTTAAGCAGGACCATAGAACACCTACATTTGACTGGCTGTGGATTCTGCTGTTTTTTTCTTGGCATCTTCCGGTCAGCCACTCTCTTCTGTCCAGCGTCTTCTTCCAGACTTTCTCAACTATCAGCTCATCCTCATCTGTTGGGACAAAATACATGAACCTAATTCAGAGTTGATAAATAATAACAAAGATTAACCCTATCAGTTTTGGAAGAAACAATTTAGGAAAAATCTAACCAACTATAAAATAAAAAGTCGCAACACTCTCCACGCAGCAGGACTGAGCAGGAGCCATTGAAAAAGAAAGGCCAATTATCAGTTTAAATCATTCACAATATACAGCATAGGACTGTGTAGGGTTTTACAAAATACAGACTAAGTTTGGCTGAATTAAAAAACA